GGGAGTAAGCCAAGGCCTGCCTCCAAAGGCGCGGTTATCTATGGCATGACAATGGATGGGCCCGGATCCAGTGGTCAGCTGGAACCGAGGCGCGGTTTGTGTTTTCCCACAGGAACCGGGACGAGAACCACTGTGGATACCGGAGAGACTGACACGGGCAACAAAGCCCTCGACTGAAGATCAGACCTGCCCTACTGGAGATCCATCACAGACCAACCAATAAGATGAATAGAAATAGCGGTAGCCCGAAATGGACAAGAAGATCCTCAGGCATATGCATGGCTTGCTCAATTGGCCCACGACCGAGTCTAGATATGGCGGGCATCCCTCATTCTCCTCCATAAGGTGACAATACACAGCAGGGTAGGTGAGTCAATGACGGGTAAGAGCGTGCCTCCCCAGCACGACTCGACCTAAGCCAGGCCCTACCCCATCCTGCACGTAAGCCGCTGGACTGTTAGATGCTGCCCAGGTCTAAATTTCTCTCCGAGGGGATTTCTTTACGGAGAGGAAATGAGTGCAAGCTTGTGTGCATCCAGGTTCCGTCCAGTTTGTGCCTGGCCCTAGAAAAAGGACGAGGGCCTCAGGGCCTTGGCGGACCATGGGACGGCCGACCAGGGTCTAAGCCAAGGACCTACGGTGGGCCTACACATAGGGCATAAGCCTCTGCACCCAGTCCAGGAAGGGCTACGATGCGCACATTCATAAAAAATAAAATAGGGGGAGATGTTGGGAGCCGCGTCTGTGATAGCTCGCCTTGCGCGGCGGACGTGCGGCCTGTGGTAAAGAGCAAAGCCTGAGGTAGATTACCCCTCCCATCGAATATGTTAGTTTCCTGCTTACCGCGTAAACAACCCGCTCAACAATATAGTCTGCCTGGCAACTGATGATGTTAGCCAATCAGCTTGCCTTGCTTACTTTAACATGATTGGACACTGTACCCGTATATATACCGGTGCCACCCCTGGGCGGAAGTAGAAGCCAGATAGAAGCCCGGAAGTAGAAGCCCAAAAGGAGCCGCGGAGAGCGGACCGGTAGAGGCTTTGGGGCAGACTGAAGCACAAAAGGAGCCGCGGGGAGCGGACCAGAGGAGGCTTCAGCTGGGAGAACCCAGGGCAGGCTGTACGGAGAAGGAAAATAAAAAGAAAAGGTTGTCCACTACCAGACTTTGTCGTGTGTCCTTCCTGCCGGCCGGGAGCGGACATCGACACCTGGCCTTCATTCAAGCCCTGTAAAAATCCCACTTCTGTTTGCTCCTGATAGATGGCCTTTTCGCCCTCTGTCTGCCTACACTCAGGTACAATACTTTCTGTGCCCTGCTGCCTTTACACGGACCCTGCAGCTTCAGCTGGTCTCTGCCTCGCCTGTTCCTCACAGTTCTCACGTCTCTGCCCATCAGAATACACACTGGAGTTGCTTCATTCCTTCCCCAAATGAGCTACATACCCAGGCCAGACTCATAAGGCTATCACGGAACTGAGAAGCTCTGCTGCCCAGGGACACTGTGGCACTGTCACTCGTTCCCCAGCTGTTCAGAGGACCCTGGTGCACACAGACCTGTTGCACTTGAATCTTACAAAAATATAGGGCCCACATTGGTGGAGCCAGGGTGCACACCAGTCATCCCAGCTACACAGGAGGCTGAGGCAGGAAGATTGAGAGTCTAAGGTCTAGGCTGGGTGTGGTGGTGCATACCTGTCATCCCAGCACTAAGGTAAGAGGATCACTGAGAGTTCGAGGCTTGCCCGGGCTACAGAGTAAGTTCAAGGCCATCCTGAACTTCATAGCAAAATTCTGTTCAAAAAGACAAATAAATAAATAAATAGTGTTTACGGTCTGCCTGAGCAGCTTAGTGAGAGCCTGTCTTAAAATAAAAATAAAAACATAAAAAAAAACATTTAAAAAGGATGTAGGTGAGTGGTACAGTGCCTCTGGATTCTATCTGCTCTATCAAAAAAACAAAGCAAAAAGGACGTGGACAGTCCAGTACTGCTTGCTTGCTGATGATAATAAAGGATGTTACAGATGTGTGTTTACTGATTTAGTTGCTTGTTTGTTTTTGAGATAGTGTCTCACTATGTTTTCTGGACTGGCCTTGGAAGTTGCAACCCTCCTGCCTCAGCCTTCCAGAGTGTATTACAGATAGCTAAGTTATTTAGCAATATTCTAGGCACTCAGACAGGGTTGGGCCCTCAAAGTAGTCAGTACGAAAACAGCTGGCTGGAGGTACATTCCTTGAAGTTCAGGTCTAAGGATAGAAAAATGACTACACCACCATTATTTCCCCTACCGATGCACAATGATTGATATTCTAATCCGGTACCATCACCTTAAGTGGGGGCCCAAACCTGCCTTTGGGAAAGCCCCTGGTCTGTTCCATGCCCATTTGATCCCCATTTAATTAATATCACCTAAGCGACTATACTGCCAATCTTATTGGTTCACCATAGTGTTGTCCCACTTCACGATTTCCCATTGGATCAGTGTTACCTAAGCGACTAGCTTCATAATTTTATTGGTTAGCTGTAGTGTTATCCCACCTCATGATTTCCCATTGAATCAGTGTTACCTAAGCAACTAACCTCATAATCTTATTGGTTCATCGTAGTTTGCCCCACCTCATGATTTTCCATTGGACCAGTGTTACCTAAATGATTATATTTGTAATTTTATTGGTTAATTATATTTTCTCCCCGTTTATACCTGCCTCAGCTGGTGGTTTTGGCCTATGAAACTCCCTTCAGCCGCAGAGTCCCCAGCCACTCACATGGGAACCTTCCTGTGGGTCTCAGAGGGAAGCTTTCTTTCCCCCATAAATGTTTTGTGCTTTTCGCCTTCGTTGTTCTTAGAATTCTTTGGTTTTAGAGGACATGAATTTGGCGCGTGGGACACCTAGCAGGCTCCCAGGTTGGGAGTTGTAATATTTCCTTTGTGTTATTTGGAATATTTGGAGGTCCCCTGCCATCTCTGTATCACCAGGGTGACAAGGGTGTGCCAACCTTCTGTGTGTGCTATATTGTTATTTTATGTATTTATTGTTATTCTGATGGTGTCATATTTTTGTTTTTGATTTCTTTTGTGCTTCTATTCCCAGAGTGGCTCAGGCAGGTAGGTCCCTGGGAGGTGCTGGGTGGGGGGACACGACTCTGTTCCCGGCACTGCCCTTCTTCCTGTCTCCCAGGGGACAATGTAGAGGGCCCTGTGGTGACTTTAATAATCCTAATCTTACGTAGGTCTAGTCAAATGTGTGTGTGTGTGTGTGTATGTAACAAAAAGTCTGAAACTAGATATAGTGGTTTACTCCTGTAATCCCAGAACCTGGAAGGCTGAAGCAGGAAGATCGCTGCAAGTTTGAGGCCAGCCTAGGCTATGTAGTGAGACCTTGTCTCACAAGAGAACACAAAAAACCAAAATAAAATCAGGGGGGAGGAGTTCTGTTTTTAATTTTGAGCCAGTTCTCACTAAATTGCCCAGGCAGAAGTCAGATTTGCACAGCACCTTTGCATCTGGCCTGTGTTTGTGCTGCTTCAGTGCTGGGGTGAAGCCCAGGGCTTCCCCCAGCCAGGTGGGTGCCCACCCCTGCAGTGCACCCCTGCCCTGTTCAATGGCTGGTGTTTTCCACAAACCTTTCAGTGTGAGACCAAGGACGCTACTCAGTCTGGGGCTGAAGCTAAAATGAGCCAGGAGTTGAGCAAGGGACAGAGGCCCAACCTGGCCTTCCACTCACTGAGCCACTCCCTAGAATAGGACTGATGGCTCTTCTGGTGCACTCTGTGCTTACAGACCCTGCAGCCCTGGGGCACCTCCATCCGCCAGCTTCGCAGCCCAAACTGTGGTCAGGCCCGGGGTACCCCCTCCCCCCGCCCCGTGATAGCTTTGCAGCTGTCACTGTGAGGAGGCTGGGTGCCTGACTGGGTTTTAGTGGGCACAGGACACATGCCTGTCACTTTGGTGTCTCAGAAGGCTGAGGCAGGAGGATGGCAAGTTTGAGTCTAACCTGGACAATTTAGTGAGGTTCTCTCTCAAAATAAAAAGGCTGGGGTGCAACTTGGTGGCGAGCACCGGCCTAGCATGTGTGAGGCCTTGGGTTCCATCCCCAGTACCACAAAGAAAAAGGGAAAAGGGGCCCTGAATTGGGGCAGGATGGGGGGGCAGGGCAATATACAGAAGTGGGATAACTGGATCCTGTCATAATTCTGTTTAATTTCTTAAGGAAGTAGATTAGTGAGTCCTGAGGTTCTTTGTTTTGTTTTTTATACCGGGGATCAAACTCATAACCTTGTGCTTGCCAGCAGGTGCTTGTGCCATTGAGCTAAACCCCTGGCCCCTGAGGATTTTTGTATGCTCTGGATATTCACCCATGTCAGATGCAACACCTGTGGGGGTTTTGATTTTGGGGGTATTTGAGACAGGTTCTGGCTGTGTGACCTAGGGCAATCCTCCTGCCTCAGTCTCCTGAGTGCTGAGATTACAGGCCTGCACCACTGTGCAGTGTCTTTCTTAGAGTCTCTAAGAGGTGTTCTGCTCTGACCTTTGGTGTTGGGGTATCTTCCTCAAGTGGGGGTGGGGTGGGGAGGGGAGGAGGCCCTCTCGAGTCTGGAGGGCTCTGCTATCACAGAAGTTCACTGGGAAGTCCAGGAATGGCTTTGTTACCAAAAGGACCTCTGCCAGGAGCACTGGCCCATCCCTGGGATCCTGGCATGCTGGGAGGCTGAGGCAGGAGGATCGAAAAGTTACAGCTGGGCAACTCTGTGAGACTGTCTCAAAATAAAAAGGATTTCTGAAAAGATAACCATCCAGTCCTCACTGACCACCCAGGCTCCAGGATTTCACTGCAGCCCCAGGACACTGAGTGGCTGGGTCTTCAGAGTAGTCCACAAGCCCCGCCCTTGTCTCTGAAATCTCAACCATGCTCCACAGAAACCCTTCCTTAGGTCCAGTTCCCCGGCAGTCCTGCCCTGTTGCTGGCCTGAGGTAGCCAGAACTGGAGCACTTCGAGGGGCTGTTCACAGCAGGTTTATTGGTTGATCTGGGCTGGGGCGGGCATGTGAGAGAAGGTCGGCTGCATGGCCACTTGGGGAAACCATTGGGCAAGGCACTTTCCCAAGAGACAGGCAAGGACCTGGGAGCCCACTCGCCCCTCCTAGTAAACAAGGTAGAGATGAGGGAGTTGCCATTCCCCTTGCTCACTATTACCCTTCTGCTCCCAAAGTAGATTTGGGGTTTGTTGAGTGATTAAAAGAGTGTCAGTGAAGCATAAGGAAGGTCTGATGCTTCCAGGGCTCCAATGCCAAGCCAGAGCGGGGAAGCCCCACCCTACTGGTCACATTTCTTTGGTTTGGGGGCAGTCTGAGGCCAGCAGCCACCTCAGACCTCTCCAGCCTGGCCTAGAGGTGCATAATGAGAGCTTCTTGGATGTGGCGCTTGGGGTTTATAACACCCTTCTCTGTCCACTTTCCCGATGTCATCCTGCACACGGGAGGACAGAAGTCTCCGCTGCCGTGCAGTTGGGGAGGAGAGGTGTGAGATGGGCAACAGCTTGCCTGGGGATACCCAGCAGCCCTGGCCCCGGGGTCTGGGCTGGAAGGCTGCAGCGGGAGCATTCCTGAGTCTTGGGGGTCAAGAACCAGTTTCAGGGCACAGCACTTGCCTGGCAAGTGTGAGGCTCTTGAGTTCAAGTCCTGGTACCAAAAGAGAAAAAATCCCCTTAAAAATAAAAAGCCATTTCAGAGGAAAATAAAATAGACCAGGAATAGCATGGCCAGGGAGCTGGCTGGAGCCAGGGGGCTTCTGTGATCCCCAGAGCTGGGATCCCGGGGCCTCTGAGGAGGGTAGACCCCTTGGCCCCAAGGTCAAGGCCCATGTAAAGTCCCCCTAATCCGCCTTCTTGGTCTTCTTCTTCCGGGACCCCTCGACCAGCTCCTCCTTGGACTTGGTGGATGGTGGGCAGTGTTGGGGGCCAGGGCCACCAGCATGCAGGCCACCATGGTTGTCATGGTGATGGTCGCCAGCCCAGCCTGTCCCGAACAGCATGGGGCACACATAGCCCTCCAGGACATCGAATGGGGACCCGTGGGAGTGAGTAGCCGTCAGGAACACCTGCGGCAGGACAGAGAAGGAAACCGAGGCAGGGGTGAAGGGGAACCAAGTCAGTGAGGCCAGGTAGAGGCCCTGCCATCCCGCCCCCAACCTGGGCTGCCAGGCAGTGTGTGCTGTCCCCTGGAATTCACATGGGGTAGAATTCTCTGGGGCTGGTGAGGTCAGGGGGCACAGCCCCTTAGTGGGGACCCTCTCCAACCCCCAGCCATGCTGGCCAATTTTCAGTTTATTTTACTTTTTTTCAGGACTGGAGGTGGAACCCAGCGCGTTCACCCCAAGCTCTGTCCCCACCCATGTGTTCTTAGATTTTGAGACAAGGTCAGTTCCCTTGGCTGGCCTTGAACCTTCGACCCTCCCGCCTCAGCCTCCTGGAGTGCTGAGATTATAGGTGTGTGCCACCTCACCTGGCTGGCCCCAAAGTTAATCCTACAGAACCTCCAGTGAGGGTGGACTTGTCACTATCAGGCCACCCAAGTGCTAGACCTGGCCTCTGTCCCCAGAGGGAAGATCCCTTCCCCCAACCCCCCAAGTGCTTCCTGGCAGGGGTCCCCACCCCTGGGCTGAGATGAAGACTCACCTTACAGGACACCATGAACATGGTGAAGAGGAAGATGAGGGTAGCCCTGGACATGGGCAGCCAGCGTGTCTGCTGCAGTGTGAAAAGCACAGCTCCGTACAGGCTGGCCTTGCTCGGGCTGCGGGGGACGCCATATCATCAGTGATCAGTGCTACTAGGCACCGTGGCCTGACCCGTGCCCCAGTGTCCTTGTGATACCCTACTGCCTTCTGCATTTCCTGGCCAGAACCTAGGCCAGGCTGGAACTTGTGACTCTCAAGCTCTGGATGCCCAGCAGCTGCCTGCCCCTCATTCCTACTCACAGCCTGTACCCTGGCCCTGAAGATCCAGCACCACCACTGTTCTATGCTAACCAGAAAACTCCTATGCACTCTTCAAACCTAAACCAAATGTCCCCGCCCCCTCCCCTGGGTCAGCCTCAGCCCAGACAGCTTCTGGGAGGCCAAGACCCCTGTCATCGGCAGGGGCAGGAGGGGTAGCCACACTCACAAGGACATGTGCAGAATCTCATTGGTCTCTGGCTTCCAGACACCCCGCAGCAGCTGCTCAAAGTTGGCCATGAGCGCGACGCCAGACCCTGTGGGGCAGCACTGGTGAACAGGCCGCCAGGGCCCTGATAGCAGAGGATGTAGGGCCTGGGCACCACAGTCCTTCAGCAGGGAAACTGAGGCTCAGGCAGCAGAGTTGCCGTGTTCGGACCCAGGCCAGCATGAAGGGTCAGGCTATCCCCTGCCCACCCTGGGGGATGGGCCACCCTCCTCCCGGGTTCACCTGACCCTGTGCACCCCAAGAGCTGGGGACAGCCCCCCTCAAGGTCGACTGCTGAATGTGGCACACAGGGGCTCCCTGGGTAATGTCCAGCAATGTCTGGGACAGTGCCAGCTGCTGCAGATAGGGGCACTGCTGGCATCCAGCAGGAGGGACGAGATGCTCCCTGCAAGAGACATCCCGGTGTCAAGGGCTCCCACGGGCACTGGGGCTTCCTGGAGGGGGACTCTGGGATCTCCTTAGAAAGCAGTTTTTAGCCCCTGCCTGGACCTTTCTTCCTGGACTTCCTGTTACTCCTTGGGACACCTACAGTGATTAAGGTGGAACAGCTCTTTACACCCAGCTTCTGCCAGCAGCTTTGTTTTGTTTTGTTTTGCTTGTTTGAGACAGGGTCATGCTATGCAGTCCAGGTTCGCCTTGAACTCACTATGTAGCCCAGGTTGACCCTGAACTCACTGTGATCCTCCTGGCTCAACCTCCTGAGGGCTAGGATGACACCATGCATGCTGGCTCTTAGTGTGTCCCTGCTGTCTATACGGGACCCTCGCTTGCTAGCTGGGTCCTGGCTCACAAGGAGGCCTGGACATGAGCAATGGTCAGTGTCCATTGGGTGGAGCAGCGTGCCCAGTCCCCTCCCGCTTACCTTTGACCCAGCCGGTGGCAATCATGATGAACCAGCCATGGTGGTAATGGTGGTGGGCATGGTGGATGCCCACTGCGATCTTTCGGACCCGCACCACTTCCTTCATGGCCACGAAGACCAGCTTGACGGGCAGGAAGCTCACGCACTTGTAGAAGAGGTCGAGCGGGCAGAAGAAGGTCAGGTACCTGGGGAGGCCGGGGAAGGCCAGGGGTGGAGTTGGAGGCATCGTGGCCAGTCACGTCCCTTCCCCTCTCCGCCCGCCTGCCCGACTGTGGGCGCCCTCACCATACGGCCGAGGCGAGCAGCACGCTGGAGCTGTTGCTGAAGTAGTCGATCACGGGCTCCCCGAGCAGCAGGTCGGCCAGGATGTAGCTGCCGAAGCAGTGCAGCATGGCGCACAGCCAGGATGCCGCGGGGTGGCGGCGGGACAGCTCCACAGCGCCTGCAGCAGAAGGTCCCACCCCGTCAGTGCCGGGCACAAGGATGGGCACAAGGGTGGCGAAGCTGAGGACTTAAAGGAAGGAGGGAGGCTCCACGTGGGCACCTGGGTTGCATGGGGCAGGGGGTGAAGCATGGTGGGGGGAGGAGCATGGTGGGGGAGAGTCTTTGTGCCATGCAGTGGTTGCGGTGATGAAGCCTTCATGCTGGCCAGGGTCTCCCAGGGTCAGACAGCGGGAGACGTATTCATAGGCAAGACCTGAGCCCCCGCCTCCCCCATAGCCCAGGCTGGGCCGTGGTGTGCGCATTTGTGTGTGCACACACGTGCAGTACTTGGGCCTGAACGTAGGACCTTTTTGCTGAGCTGCACTCCCAGCCCAGAGTCTCTCACAGTGAAGTCCAAGCTGGCTTTGACCTCACCATGATCCTTCCTGCCTCAGCCTCCCGAGTGCTGGGACTTCAGTCCTACACCCCTTATGAGCTCCTCACCGATCCTTTTCTTGAGGGGTGAGGCCATGCGGTTGGGGTTTCTCGAGCTGGCTGTACCCTCAAGATGGCGAATTGCTTAGAGCATCACCCAAACTGCAATCCCAAACCCCACTGGCATATCCCCACGTGCCCACGCTGTGGTTAAACCTGGGTCCTGAGGTTTTAGGTTAGAAAAAACATCCTGTATCTTAACTTTGCTGCCTTAAAGATAACACGTGTGCCACGGGTTCCCACCGCCTTGAAGGCCTGTGACTGCCCTCAGACTGATCTCCACGTTGGTTGGGCACGGAAAGCGGGCAGAGCCCCTAACATAGAGCGCTCCCACCACCCCGCCCCAATCTCAGCCTTCCGGGTCCTCTGCAGCAGGGCCTCTGCAACAGCACAGGACAGACAGAGCCCTGCCACTACTGTGGTGCTTTCGTTGTGGGAGCCTGACCTGCACCCCTCTGCAGAGCACCACACTCCCACGCCTCGCCTGCCTGATAAACAGTGGAGGGCAGGCATGGTTCTGTCACTCACCCTATGGCACTGTCGGGAGATGTGGCGCCTTTAGGAGGTGGGGCGTAGAGAGAGGCAGTACGTTGTTGGGGGCGTGGCCTAGAGCTATAGGCCCTTCCCGCTTTCCCTTCTCTTCTGGGAGGGGCAGCGGCCTCCTCTGCCCCCCCCCCACGCACGCACGCACGCACGCGCGCATCCTGGGTCCCAATAATCCTTTGTTTCACCTGACTGAATTCGATGTTGTCAGGGTGACTGGCCTAGCCCGTCCACTTCTCCTGGTGCTGGAGGGACAGGAGGAGGAGTGTGGCTGATACGGGGTTATACCATGAGACAAGCAAGGTCTAAGCCTGGCAACCCACACCCATCATGCCAGCACTCTGGAAGACTAAGGCAGGAGGACCACAGATCCCAGCCCAGACTGTGTCCAGGACATTCGACTTCACAGGGCCAGGGACCAGGTTGTGCCGCCCAGGTGAGGGTGAGGGGACAGCTTGTGGGATGTGGGGTTTGAAGCATTCTGGGGTTTGTACACAGACACCCCTTGGCTCTTTGGGGTGAGCCCCCAGCCTTGTGCCAGCAGTGGGTGTGAAGCCCAGGACTTACACGTGATGGGCAGGTGTCACCACTCACCTACATCCAGACCCCTACTTCTACCTGAAGGAGAACACGGGGTGCAGGTGCAGTTGCCATGCCACACACTCAGTTCCCAGACAGTGTATTGCTTTTAGTTTTTTCTTTCTAGGTAGGGTCTTGCTCATAGTCCTGGCTGGCCTTAAACTCACTATATAGCCCAGGCTTGGTTTCAGACTTGCACCAATCCTCCTGCCTGCCTCAACCTCCCAGTGCTGGGAAAATAGGGGTGCACCACAACACCCCGATTTGCTGAGTATTTTCCATTCATGGTTGGTTGAATTCTCAGATGCAGAACCCACAGAAACAAGGCACTGACTGCATCTCAACAGGTGGAATCATCACACCACACACCTGCCTTTTGTGTGCAGCTTTTCAGACCACAAAGTATTCAAGGGTAATGCTCATCTTCACTGCTGTATAGTACTCCACCATAGGAAAAGATCACATTTATTATCCCTCCAGAGGGTATCTTATGATCAGTGTACATCCCTGACACAAGTCAAAAGCAAGCAACCCATGTGTCCTCATCTCTGCCTCACACCAACCAGCCACATGACTTTGAACTCACCATGTCTCTCTCTGTCCTTGATACCCTTCCCTGCCTCGAGCCTGGTGGAAACTAGGATGACTTTCCCTCTCTTCCCATTAAGTCTCAAGGTCTTTGGCCAAGAAGCACAACACTGTGCCTCCTGTTGTCCTGGGCTTCTATTTAAACCTGGTTCGAGCTGAGTTAATCCTCTCAGCAGGCGCAGTCTGCAGAAATGGATACTTCTGCATCTAAGAATAACTCCTGGGGACAGAACCCTCCAGGGCTGCTTCTGCCCTTCAGGATCACTCTGGCATAGACTGGGAGCTGGGGGCAGGGGCGAGGAGCCCTAATCAGTGCCCACCTGGAGATTCCTGGGTGTGTCCCATGAGCAAATCCTGGCATCAAAGTCACATGGCCAGAGACGCCTGTATGGCAGTGTGAGGGGAGCCTGAGGCAGGCGGATAGCCTGTTCAAGTCTGTCCTGGGCAGTTCAGTTCACTGTCTCATAAGATAATGGGCTGGGGTCAGAGCTCAGTGCTAAGGTCCTGGGTTTAACGCCTCAGCACTGCAAAATGTCACATTCCCAGGCTCTGTTGCTCACTCTGGTATGGCCTTGGGCAGAAAAAGATCCCTGCTTGGGGCCTCTTGCTGTGGAAAGGCTGGGTTACTGCGTCTCCTTGCACAAACTAAGGCCAATTCAAGGTCATCATTGCCCGGGGTGTGTGTGGGGTGGAGGCGAGACCAGGCCTGTCCCAGGGAGCCCATCTAAGTGAGCACCCGACCCTTGGTTTCTCCTGCTGTATTCTGGGCAGGCAGCAGCAAGCTGGAGAATAGGGAATTTCAACTCTGGGTGACTGGGAAGTGTCCATTTGGAGTGAGCTCAGGCCTCCTGTGCCTGGGTGCCTGGGGACTTTGTGTGACCATGTGTGATGGACGCCTTCAGGGTCCTGAAGCAGCTGGCAGTGCTAAACCCTAATCTAACTCCAGGTTGGGGTTGGGTGGGGACAAGGGTGGAAGTGAGCACTGTCTCCCTAAACCTGAACGAACTGGGCTGCTCCACCCCAGCGGGTGCCTGTGAATTTTTAGCGAAGATGTAAGAGAGGACCAGCTGAACCCAGAAATGCCTGGGGCAGATATTTGGGGAGATGGATGTGTCTTTCTTTTTTTTGCCAGGGATGGAACCCAGGACCTCGTGCGTACCAGGCGAGTCTGGTCCCCCACGGGAGGGACTTTAATTTATGTCCTAAGTAGCTACACTGATTGAAGATCACAGGCTGGTACCAGGAACAGGAAGAAGGGCAAAGAGGAAAAGAGGGTGAAGGGAGAAAGAACTCAGTCCGAAACAGAAAAGAAGGATGGGCAGACTTTTAAAACTCAGCTCTGAAGCCTGGCACAATGGCCATGACTGTCATCTAGGTACTCGTGCGGCCAAAGCAAGAGGACCAAAATTCGAGCTGGGCATGGACAATTGAGTGACTCAATGAGACCCTGTCCCGAAACAAAACATCAAAAGGGCCGAGCTCAGTGCAAAGGAACTTGGTTCAATCAGTACCAGGAGAAAACAAAACAAAGCAAAACAAGAATTTAGAGAAAGCTATACGAAGAATTTCCGGGGCAGTGAAATTGTTCTGTGTGATTCCAAAGTGGTGGAAGTGTGTTCTTCCAGATGGGTCAAAATTTGTGGACTATATCAGGTCAGGGTGCAGCTCAATGGGATGCATTTGTCTAGCACACCAAGCGTCCCAAAATGATGATGATTATGCACTGTTCACCAATAATGCCAAACTTTCCACTGAGGTGAAGTGGGTGATGGAGAGACCCAGTGGAGGGAGGAGCCCATGGGAAATCTGCACTGTCAACTTTTAATTATATCGTAGAACTCTAAAACAGCTCTAAAAGACAATCTAGGTGGGCGTAGTGACGTAAACCTGTGATCCCTGAATTTGAGAGGCTGAGATAGGATTGCTGCAAGTCTGAGGTCAGCCTGGGCTATGTAGCAAGACACTTTTTTTAAAAAAAAAAAAAGCAAAACCAAACAAAACCAAAAATCTATTAATTTTTTAAAAATGTCCAAACAGGATGTCCAGAGCCTTGCTGGGTGTGGTGGTGCACATGGTTCATCCCAGAACTCGGGATGCTGAGGCAGGAGAATTATTGCAAGTTTGGGACCAGCCTGGGCTACAAAGTGAGCTCAAGGCCAGCCTGAACTGCATAGTGAGACCTAACCTCAAACAAAACAAAACAAACATACAAACACCATAGCTCTGAATGTCTAGAGCCTTCTACACACTCCAGGGGCTGCAAATCTACACTCCCAGCCTCTTTGTAAGATGGCCCAGTGGTGGCAGCCCCAGCCAAGTGGGCCAAGCTGGCCTGGTGTCACCCAGGACATCTTTCCCTGGTGGACTTCTCTGTATAACAGGCCTGGCCCTGAGAGCCAGGGGAGCTGAGTGTTCCACATCAACAAGGCCTGGGATGTTTTCATTGTCATCACTGTGTATCAGGGCACTGCCAGTGACCACAGCAATGCCTCAAATCCTCCTGAAATACATGGGCAGCACCACCCTACCACCTCACAGATGGTGTGAACCATCTGTTCTTATCTGGAGAAATCCAAAAATTACACTTGGCCATCTGCACCTTCGGATTTGGCAACTGCAGATTCAATCACTCTGGGTGGGAAATATTCCAAAAGCTGCAACCATATCAGACGTGTAAGGGAGTTTTTCTAGAGCGGTCTCCTAAGGACACACACAGTACAATGACTTTGCCCTGTATGACTGTGCCACCAATATAACCTGTATGCTGTGTCAGGGCCCCGAGTCACCCAGAGGTGGCTGCCACTCCTGGGCAGTGTGGGGTCAGTGTGCAGTCTGCCTTGCTCCTTGGAGGGCTTGAGTATCCTTAAGTTTGGTACCCACAGGTGTCCCAGAAGCACCTCTGGGGACCTGGGGACACCTGGATGCATGCAGACCCAGCTCTGGTGACTCTGATCTCTATGCCTGTGTCAACAGATTTGAGGACTCAGGTTTGGAAGATTCTTTGGATGGACAGGGGCTTTAGTATCCAGACCTCTGTTCACTCCTTCTGTCATTCCTGTAATCAGGTATAGCACCCTACTTCTTGCTTTCTCCCTGCCTGGAGCTGGGGCCCACACATGCCCGGCTCCACCCTCTGTGCTTCGAGGGCTCAGGTAGGATAAGCAGGGCCTGCTTTTTTTTTTTTTTTTTTTTCCACTTAAGCTGGTCTTGAGCTTCAGCCCATTAGGAGACTTCAAGACTCAATGCAGAAGGGGTTCAGCAGGTCAGAGCGGTGCCTGGTACTCTCCGCCTCTCTACAGTTCCCAGGTGATTAAGATGAGGGTTCCTCAGCAAGCCAGAGTGGGAAATGCCTGGCTATCACTTTTCTTGGAGCCTTCCAAATAAATATAACGCCTGCTCCAAATGTCCAAGACCCTGCTACTGACAAGGTTCTTGGAAGATCTTCACAAATAGCCTTGAAAATTCTGATACAGCAACTCCACATGGATTCTAGGAAGTATTTACAGACAAGCAGAACTAGCAGCTGAAGCCGGCAGTCCCAGCACTCTGGGAGGCTGAGATAGGATGACAAATTTGAGCCCAGGTTGGGGAACTAAATGAGATCTTGTCTTAAAACATTTTCAAAAGTGCTGGAGATGCTCACTGAAAGGCTCTGTGTTCAATCACCAGGAACACACACACACACACACACACACACACACACACACATTTGCAGAAGCGGAGCACTCGCCACAAATGGGATGGGGCAAAGCGTGCACTTGGACATCTCATTTTGAGATGCTGGGGAGGAACCAGGGCCCCATGGGTACTGGACAAACACCCCCCACCAAGCTCACTCCAGCCCCCAGGGAGCTATGGAAATCCAAAGGTGTGTCTGCTGGGCAGCCAGGGCTGAGAACCACTCCCCAGCCTCCTGGACACCCCTGGCCCAAACATTTTCCTTGCAGCCTCTTTCATTTTAGATTTTTCAAGATGTGCTGGGTGCTGGCAAGCCCACCAGGAATTCTCCAGGCAGAAAACAGCCCCAGGTTCACACCAGGGCTGTACAAAGCTCATTCTGCTTTGCAAAGCGACTGCTTTCCCCAAGATTAAGGGAACAGACGCTGGCAGGTGGGTAGACAAAAATAGCACCTCCTCCTCTGACAGGAGACTGATCTTGTCTGCATAAGAGCCTGCCCTCCAGTCTCTAAGAGTAAAATATAAATGCACATTTAAAAAAAATCTCTGGAAGGAAGGGCACCGAGTGAGCTGTATTACCGTTTTCGGCAGGCATTTTAGTAAGCATGAACACTTGTTTTTATCATCTGAAAAAGAATAAAGCTATTGCTACTAGAAGAAGATGACTAAAACTATTCCTGTTCTGAGACAAAGGCTGTTTACACCCAAGTGGGAGAAGGGGCTGCTAAGTTTTTTTTTTCCTTCTTCTTCTTCTTCTTCTCAAATTAAATTCTTCTCCTGTCCATTATGTGTGCTGTTGAGCTAATAATTAAAATACTGGAGCTGAACAAGAAGCATTTGCTGCTGAAGAGCCCAGTACAAAAATAGAACGCATTCCAAAGAGGCCATTTGTCCTCATTAAAACAAAAAACACACGTTTAAAGGGAATGGAGTCTGTCTTTCCTCCTGTGTCTCTCCAGGGGCTGGAGGGGCTGGAGAGGAGGCTGACCCCGAGTCACTCGGCCCAGTGGAGAGGATCCAGGAGTGGAAAGGATCCCAGGCCAGGCTGGAAGGATTCCCACAGCGCTGGGAGCAGAGATCCTGCGAGAGGCACGGAGGAAACAGGAGGGGACACTGGTGTCATTTTCCCGAACCTGATCTTGGTCATCATCGCGCCGGCCTTATATAGACACAAGCAGGCGAGGCACGCGTGCCAAGGACGCAGACAAAGGTCGCACAGGGGGCGGCGGGGCCCCGGACCTGCACCAGACCGGACGCAGTCCCCGTCTATACGCCCACCCCCCGCACTCCCCTGGCCGCGACCGCGAGCGAACTCACCTTCGCGGGGCCAGACCGCTCCCCCAGCTCCCCGGGTCTATGCAACCCCAAAGCCAGATTCCCGGTCCCGGGGGACTCACCAGGCTCATACTTGAGGTACAGGAGGGAGACGATGAAATAGCTGAGGTCAAAGACGGGGAACAGTGGCACCCGGGAGAAGCTGAGCGCCAGCTCGCCCAGGCTCAGCGCCGACAGCAGGTCCATGACGATCGCCCGCCCACAAGCCGCCGCCGCCGCCGGGTGCCACCCCGGCCCGGGTCCCACCGCGCGTCCAGCGGCCGGGCTACTGAGTCTCCCGGCACGCCCGCCAGGTCCCCGCCCACGCCAGTTAGGCCCCGCCCCTGACACAGAAGTCTCCTCCCCAAGCGCCGGCCACCAAACCCCGCCAACTCCTCGCTCAGGCCCCACTGCTCTTCCTAGGCCCCGCCTCCTACCAGACAGGCCCCGACCCTGCACTGGCTCCACCCCCCCACACGGGAGGGGAGGAGCCCGAGGAATAACAGGCGCACGCCTGTCACCACCTCCCCATTCATCCCAGTGATGCAGAGCGGGGACCCGTGTCCATCTGGCTGCCTGTCGCCTGCTGGGTCCACCCTCGTGGGCACTCGTCCCTGGACCACTTAGGTCCCTCTCCTCCGTGAAGCTCAGGCAAGACGTTCGTCTCTGGAGACCCCAGCATCCGGCACGCGTCCTCTGGGGACCCCGCCTGGCGAGTGGTCTAGGAGGACCTCTTTTCTGGAGTCCACACAGTTGGATCGCCGGATCAGGGAGCGTATCTCACGAGACGCCGCACCTGGACACTTCAGGGGTCCAGGCTCTGTTGTGTTAGAAGACCCGAATCTTGGATCTCAGAGAGCGAGAGGTGCAGCGGCGGTGATCGCCTGCACGCGCATCCTAACACACGGGGCACTCGGCACTCGCTGGACACGAGAACGCGTCAGCCCGGAAGGCACCTCCCCTCGGGCGATGTCGCGCCTCGTCCCGCCCTTTCTTCCGTAGCTCACTGGACCTCCCTGACAAGGAGGGGCGCTTGCATACTCCTGGCTCTCAGAGGGCGGAACCTCTCCATGCCTTGGCCTTCCATTGGCCCGGCCCTCGGCACCGGTAGTTTCAGAATTGGTCGTTTGAGGCGCCCTCCCTGTGACTTCCGCTTCCGGTCCTGACGGCTGCTTCGAGTGTAACGATGATCGGTGACATCCTGCTGTTCGGGTAATTAGGGGGACCAGAGGTGGGGAAAGTCAGTCAGACGAGACGGAGGACGCACTTAGTAAACGTAATCCTCCTTCTGCAGGACACTGCTGGTGAATGCTGGAGCTGTGCTCAACTTTAAGCTGTGAGTAGGCCGCGCCGGGTTGAGGGTCCATCCGGGAAACTCGTAGACCCGCCCCAGCTAGTGTAAGCTCGCCCCGCCCCATAGCCCATCCTCTGGCCACGCCCCGCGTTTTAGACCACGCCTCATCTCTGACCACGCCCCCGTCCTATCACCGCCTCCGGCGGCTCCGAGCAACCCGGGGTTTACAAACCCAGCCCCGGGTGACCAGATATCCCGAGAGCCTGAGGCGCGCCCCCAGGAGATCGCCCTGGCCCAGACTCTCGGCCTGCACTCCCCGTTTCTCTTTCTGGCTGGCCAAGATGGGCCAGGCAGGTGGTGCCCAGAGAGGGACCGTGGGCCGCCAGAGCTCACCAACCGGACCGCCGCGGGGCTGGAGCTGGAGCTCTGTGTTCGCGCCGGAAGAGCTGATGTCAGGGTCGGCACAGTGAGCGGTCCCTGTGCCCCAGCGAAAGTGCCCGTCGTCTGCTTCCTCTGTAGGAAAAAGAAGGACACGCAGGGCTTCGGGGAGGAGTCGAGGGAGCCCAGCACAGGTGAGATCGCCTTCTCGGCCCCTGGCATTGCGCATTGCGCATTGCGCCTCCGGGAGGACCGTTCTTTCTCAGTAATCCGGGCTTCCGGTTTTCTTTTTTAACTGATCATGTGCGTGTCTGGCGGCTAGAGAGGTGGGCTGATTGGGTGCCTGCCTCTCCCACACCCTTCTTGGAGCAGACTAGCACTTCCTGCAGCTGTGTTCTCTCCGAAGGCGCCTGTCTGCCCCTTACACCCGGCTAGAAGTGCAGGGAATGAAAAAAGCAAACAGCCTCACCTGTAGTTGCTTTCCGAGCAGTGCAGACCTTTGTGGTTCTGTGAGTTAGAGGCCAACATTAGATTTTGAATAAATCAGATTCTTTTTTTGGTACGGGGAATTGAACTCAATAACTTGTGTTTACCAGGCAGGCACTGTGCTGCTGAGCTATATCCCCAGTCTAGTCAGGAGATTTTATATGAGAGTTTAGGGGTCTGGTTTTTCCTAAGAGATCAGATTTTTAAAAATCGTGTAAAAAGTTGTAGAGGCTGGTGTGATGGGGCACGCCTGAGAAGGTGAGGCAGGAGAATTGCAAGTTTGAGCCCAGCCTCGACAAGGGCTGAGGATGTAGCTCTGTGTTTGGGCCCTGGATTTGATCCCTACTACTGCCACACACACACACACACACACACACACACACACGCACGCACGCACGCACGCACGCAGAGGAAGTTTGAGTTGTGTATGGTGATGCACATTTACATTTAGGTACTTGGGAGCCTGAGGCAGGATGATCACAGATTTGAAGCTAGCTAGGACTGTTTAGAGAGCCTATCTAAAAACATGAAAAGGGCCCAGGCTGTAGTACAGTGGTAGAGCGCCTGTGCAGCTTGGGATGGTAGGGATCCCTTGGTACCCACCAGAGGGGTTGAGAAGTAGAGCTTCCCCAGGCAGGGCCTGTGGACCCCACCTCCCTCTGGCCCAACCTCTTTGAGTTATATCAGTTCTCTCACCCAGCCCCACTTCACCTGGATCAGTCACGTGACAGTCCAAAGGCACCAGCAGGTAACAGTGGTGGCGTTCATGCTTCCATCAGTTTGTCTGCCAGAGTGCCCTTGCCTAGCATGTTTGAGGCCCTGGGTTCAGTCCCAGTGGTAAACAAAGTTAGCGGATGTTTATTGGACATTGACAGCTAGTGGGGTGGGTGCTGGCATAGAGAAGAGATGAGGCAGATGTTGCGTGCAATGGGAAGAATGGTTCCTAAGTGAGGAACAGTCATAGGAACTGCCATTGTGGGGGGCTTTGGACACGTTGAGGAGGGTGACAGCAAGGACCTTGCACCCAGCTGGAGCATTGCTTGAGGTGGGTGGGGATGCTGAGGAGTGAAGGTTTGGGGGCGACCTAGCAGCTGCCCTCACTTCAGTGGCTGTCACATGGGTTAGGTGGCTGCCCTGGAGGCGTTCTGCTTGTCTCCCCCAAACCTTCACTCCTCAGCATCCCCACCCACTTCAGCCCACACAAGGTGAGGATCACTGTCTCATTTTGCAGGTGAGGGGACAGGCTCAGAGATGGGGTTTAGCCTGCCTGTGGCCTCACCGCAAACCAGTGACAGGATTAGAAACTGGGTTCTTCTGACCCCAGAGTTTGGATTCTTTTTCTCCACTTTTATTTTATTTTATTTTTTTGAGGCAGGTTGTCTCTATGTAGGTCAGGCTGGCCTTAAACTCACAGTAATCCTCGCACCGCAGCCTCCCTGGTACTTGGATTACAGGCCTGCACTACCATGCCAGGCTCAGTTTGTACTCTGAACTGACCATGTACCCATCTGTCCATTCATCCATCTGTCCATTTACCTGTTGTCCATCCACCCTTCACTCCCCTATCCATGCACTGCTTTGCCATCTACCCATTCATCCACCTGTGAGTTCACTCTGCCGTGCACCCATCTGTCCATTGATTCCTCCACTGACCACTCATTCATCTGTGGCGCCGCCACCCAGATAAATCTCGTCTGTCCAGAATGGGGAATGCACAAGACTGTACAGGTCTGCACCGGTGATCAGAGCCAGGCGCAGCAGTGGCAGAAGTCTCTGGCAGGTTGAGGGTCTCTGTGGCTCCCGGGTCTGGCATTTCTGTGGCATGCTATGTTCTCCTGGCCTCACCTGGCTGGGACTCTGTGCCTGCTCAAGCTCTGCTACATGGATATACCTGCTCCGCGCCCAACATGCCTGCCATCCCCATTCCAGGTGGGAACGGGCACCAACAGGCCGGGGCCCAGGCCTGGCCCAGGCCAGGTTGGGGGCAGTGGGCGAGGGAGGGCCTCAGGTGTAGTCCTCTTCGGTTCCCTTGAGGCAGCCCTTTGCCCCGAGAGTGGGCCAGAACCTCAAGCTGGGTCTTGTTCCTCCTTGCACCTGTGCTTGGCTGCTGCCTGAGATGAGGGACTTCCATAGCTAGCCGGTTCTTGCTCTGGGCAGCTGTGGTCACTTTCCCAGGCAGAGCGGTGCTTTTGAACATCCTGGGGACAGAGCTGGGTCTCAGTGATTCCAGATCAAGATTGGGCCAGCTACCTGCAGCCCAGCCTGTCTCTTGGGTAATCCTGGGCTTATCTCACCTACTGCCCAGCTGTGGGGGTCACTGGAAGGTTCCAGAGCTGGTGCTCACGGACATCCTAGCCTGCGTGTGATGCTTCAGGTAGCATCTGGTGGCTCGCCAGCATTCTTCTCGTTCTGGAGCCTTCCAGCCCCAGAGGAAGATTTCAGGGCCCTCGGCTCTCTGAAGTCCTACCACACCAAATGGCCTCCCTTTGCAGGGAATTTTGTTTTTCAGTATCAGAGACCAGCATGAATACCCAAAATATAACCTGTTCAAATGAGGAATATTTTCTCCCCTCTCCCCGGTTGAGGGCCGGGGATATAGTTCAGCGGTGCAAGTGCCTGCCTGGCAAGTATGAGGTTATGAGTTCAATCCCTGGTACAAAAGAAAAATGATAATAATATAAGTACTGGTGTTGAACCAGTACCCAGGCTTTTGCGTGGAGGTACATCCTCAGCACCCCACCCTTCCCCAAACATTGTGTTTTGTAGCAGAGTCTTGCTAAGTTGTCCGGGCTGCGGTGAACTTGGGAGCCTCCTGCCTCAGCCTCCCAGAGTGCTGGGATAGCAGGCATGCTCAACCATGCCTGACATGGGTGCTTTCTGTGTGTTTGTTTTGTTTTTTGTGGTGCTGGCGATGGAACCCAAGGCCTTGCACACACTAGGCAAGCAGTTACCAGTGAGTTGTAACCCAACCTCAGGGCGATTTTATTTTCTAGTGCTTCCAACTCAGCTCAAAGTGGTTAAAGGAATCTTAAATGTTTAGTACCCCTGGGCTCAGGGTTCCATGCAGCCCTCTAACTTATCACTCTGTGGTCCATGCCTGTCATCCTAGCTGAGGCAGAAGGATTGCTGTTAGTTCAAGGCCAGCCTTGAACCTTCTCAAAAAACAAAAAACAAAAAAACCCCTCTGACCCTCACCAGCTCTTAATTCTCCTTTTTTCTTTGTCCTGATGACCTGTGTATAGGATGGCTTGGGGCAGGACACATTCTTCAGCCAGTGGCCACAGGGTAAATATTTGCAGCTCTGTGGTGCAAGAGCTCAGCTCTGCTGCGACCAGGCCCGACCAGGACCACGCTGTAGCAGCCAGAGAAGGAAATAGCTCAGTGGGTGCGGGGTGAGCTAGTAGAGCTTTACTCACTGTCATTCCAGTTCTGGAACACCAAAGCAGGAGGACCGCTTAGTTTGAGGCCAGCCTGGGCTGCACAATGAGTCCAAGGCCAGCTGGAAGGACACAGCAAGTCTCTGTCTCAGAATACAATAAAAGGCTTTAATTCATAGACACAGGCACTTGCATTTTATACTGTATTTGTCTCCCATAAAATATTATTTGGAGGTTTTAAATTTTGACAGTGTCAAACCATTTCAGCTTACAGACCATAGAGGGAAAAATAGGTGGAAAGGGCTAGATTTGGCCTGTAGGCCATAGCTTTTCTTATCCTTTGTTAGAGCAAGAAGCCTACATCTTCCCAGCCTAGCAGACCCCTCAAAAAATGAGGGTACTATCTTTTTCCACAATAGTCATGGGTAGGAGTCTCAGGGCAGACTCTGATTGGACAGACTTCGGTCACATAGTCCTCCCTAAGCCAGTCAGCCTTTCGGAGCTTGGCGCTGTCAGGACATTGGTTGGTGGCTGACACTGCCTATGTTCCGGGTTGGGGAGCTGAGGAGACCGAGGGAGAAGGCGGAATGCTGGTCCCCTGTGGGTATAGAAGCCAACAGCTGCACTGCAGCAGAAAGCGGGCACCCTACCTGTGCCCTAAGGTTGCTTTTGCACTTTGCAGGTGACAACATCCGGGAGTTCTTACTGAGCCTCCGATACTTCCGGATCTTCATCGCGCTTTGGAACGTCTTCATGATGTTCTGCATGGTTGTGTAAGTCTAGCCTGCCCGCTCAGTGGCCCACAGAAGGGTCATTTGGCATGCAGGGGTCCCCTTCATTTCACACCTCTGCTTCTGAAACAAGAACTGGCCCCTCCAGTGAGGGGCCCAGGGGCCAGTGGGGTTAACCCTTACTGAGGTTCCTGCTGTGCCGCGGACTCCACTGGTTCCTGGACCCAGTGACGCTATCCTCTGTCCCGCCTGCAGGGCAGAACCTGCTGGGGCCTCTGCCGAGGTAGGAAGCAATGCAGATGTCTGGCGTGCTGCCAGGGCCTCCAGCAGCTTCGCTAGAAGTGGCAGCAGTGTCCTCAAAACTTCTGGACAGGCATGGTGGCACATGCCTGTAATTCTAACACTCAGGAGGCTGAGGCAGGAGGATTGCCGTGAGGTCTAGGCCAGCCAGGGCTGCACAGTGAGTTCAAGGCCACACTGGACATACAATAAGGCTCTGTATCAAAGGAAAATAAAAAGTAGACAGACGATTGTGGAGCGTTCCTTCTTGCGGAGGCAGCCAAGGGAAGAAAGCCCGCTAGACAGCTGTGGTTTAAACCAAGCTGGGAAGTGTGGGAGGAACCTGCCTGGCACTGAGCCAGAGAAGGCACGGGTTGTGAAAGCTGAGGTCCAGGCAGGGGGAGCTCCGAAGTCTGCTCCGTCCCATCCAGGGCTTCCCACTTTAGTCCTCATTCCGCATCCCCTGGGCCACTGGGAGTCCAGGCTGCAGTGGGGCCGAATCTGCCTGCTCCCAGCTGGCTGCTTCTGCTCCACAGTGCTGTGGCCCCGGCCCTTTGCAGAGAAAGTGTGTGGAGACCTGCAGGAAGGAGGCCAGCTCCTTGGCGAGAGCTGTTCAGGAAAGGGTGTTCGCCCGGTGCTCGGAAGGCTGAGGCAGAAAGAAGGCAAGTGTGAGCCTAGCCAGCGCAGCTCAGTGAGACTGCTACTCAGAAAGGAAAAAAAGACAGGATGCCCTGGCTCCCTGCCTAGTGAGAAAGGGACTCTGGGGGGCTTTGCAGGACACGAAAGTTCTGGGAATCACCTGAGCATCCGTGGCAGTCTGCTGTGAAGAGGGATGCTCAGTGACCAGCATTACCAGCCAACCCCGAGGAAGCACTGTTGGGGGAGAGCAGGTCTGGTGCTGTGGGTGCAGTCTGAGGTCAGGGGCAGCAGTTGTTCCCTGGGAACAGAGAGTAAAGGAGCTGGGCCTGATGTGGGAGGCCGAGGCAGGAAGATGGTTTCAAGTCCAGCCTGGGCAACATAGCATGACCCTATCTCAAAAAAAAAAAAGCCTGGGGCTGTAGCTCAATGCAAAGGCCCTGGGTTCAGTCCTCAGCACTGGAAAAGGGAAAAGTGCAGAGTAAACGGTAAATGGGCAGTAGTACATGACCGTAGTTCCAGACTGCAGTGAGAGGCGGAAGCAGGCAAGTTCAAGCCCAGTCTGGGCAACATACTGCCTGAGGAAGATACTGTTTCAAAACATTTAAAAAAGGGCTGGGGATGGAGCCCAGCAAGCAGGCGAGTGCTATCAGCAGCACCATGCCAACAAGAGAAGGAGATGGGTTCCTGTTCCTGGAGCCCTCGGTGGTGCTAAGCCGAGGTGCTCTGGTAGCGTTAAGTCTTGAGAAGCCTAGTAGGGGCGCAGTACCCGTTCTGCCTCTTACCCCTCACTGCACAGGGTTTGAGGGGCCCATTTCCCGGAGTCCCAAGGCTGTGCGGTCCTTGGCGCTCGAGGCTGGTGCATGCACACGCGCTGTCGCTGTTGCTGTCGCCGTGGGGCAGTTTGGGCTGCTTAGGTGTAAACTGAGGTAACGCACAATGTCCCCCGGCCAGGCCAGCTCCGAGGTGATTTAGAAGAAGCTAGAAAGACTCTTCTAGAGGAGTAGGGCACTCTGCACTTCTCCCTGCTGTGTACTGAGGGGTCCCCATCTCTCCAGCATTGGTAATACGAGTCTTTTTTTTTTTTTAAGCTGACCAGGTATTTTAAAATTTAATTTTATTGTTTTGCTGGGTTTTTTTAGTTTTTATTTTCTATTTTACTTTTTCAATTTTTTTTTAATTTTCTATTTTCTATTTTTGATGCCCGGGGTCAAACTCACGACTTTGCACTTGTGAGGCAAGCACTTATGCCATTGAGTTAAATGTCTAGCCCTTTGTTTTTGTTTTTTGAGACAGGGTCTCACTATGTAGCCTGGGCTGGCCTCGAACTCCCAGCCAGCCATGCTCCTGCCTCAGCCTCCTGTATCCTGGGATGACAGGTGGGCTTTGCTACTTCTATATTAGTCTTTTAGTTGTTGTTTGGAGACAGGGGCTCATGATGCACTTCAGGCTGACTTTGAACTCACTGTGTAGCCCACACTGGCCTTAAACTTCACAGCAGTCTTCCTCTTGCCTCAGCCACCTAAATGCTGGGCTGACCATGTTAGTCTTTTAATCATAGCCATCCTGGTGTGGAAGGGTTCTGATTTGCATTTCCTTGTGGTCCATGATGTGGGGTTTACATCATTTCAGATTACTGTCCATTTGTACAATTTGAGAAATGTCTGCTGAGATCCCTTCCCCATTTTTTGATTGGGCCGTTACCGTGTTGTAACCATTCCTGTTAGTTCTGGATCCTGGTCCCTTATCAGATATGATTTGTAAATGTTTTCTCCTATCCTGGTTTCTTCTTTTTTTTGGTACTGGAAATTGAACTCATGACCTCAAGCTTGCCAGGCAGGTAGTGTCACTGAGCTGTATCCCCGGCCCTCTTTTTTTCCTGTGGTGCTGGGGTTTGAACCTAGAGCCTAGCACATGCCACATCCCCAGCCCCATCTTTTTACTTTTTGATGGCTTTGATGCTTATGTGAAGCATCAAAGTGTTAATTTTGATAGAAGTCCAGTTTATCTGGATATTCATTTGTTGCTGGCACTTTTGATTTTATACTTAAAAAATCACTAGCTGACCAAGGTCGTGGAGATATAAAGTCCAACTTTCTTCTAAGAAGTTTGGTAGTTTTATATCTAGTTAGGCCTCTGGGCCATCTCAGTTTACTCATGAAAGATGAGGTCTCACTGTGCAGTTCAGGCTGACCTTGAATTTACTTTGTAGCCAGGGCCGGCCTGGAACTTGTGACAGTCCTCCTGCCTCAGCCTCCTGAGTGCTGGAGTTCTAGGCTTGCAGCACTACACCTGGGCTGTGTTGGTTTTTGCAGATGTGCTCCTATGCTGTGTGTGTGTGTGGAGACCCCTGTCCCGCACCCATTACTCTTTCAAAACAGTTGCTTTCTTTTGGCCCACATCAAGCTCTCTAGCCCGTTATGGGGCAGTACTGAAAGGCCCATGTGACAGATGTCTCCATAGTCCCCCAGGGCCATGTTGGAGCACATAGACCTCAGCCCAGGCCCGAGTGGTAGTGTCATCTCTGGGCTCCACTGTACTGTGTGTTTTTGACTGACAGAATGAACTGTCAAGTCTGGGTTTTGTTAGCTTTGACTGTGGTGCCCTAGGGTGGCTGCTATGCCACAGACTCCTAAGCACTCACGTCCCTTCTTCTCAAGGGCATCAGAGTTGTTTCAACCTTGAGCATACCCCATGTCCCAGAAACCAGGCGGTTACTTACAGCACTAATGCAGGGCAAATGTGGTAGAAATGGTTGTTTGTTTTGTTTGGAGACAGGGTCTTGTTGCGCTGGCTCTGAACTTACCCTGTAGCCTAGGCTGGCCTAGACTTCATGGTGATTATCCTGCCTCAGTCTCCCTAGTGCCAGGATCACAGATGTGCACTGCCACACTTGGCTTTGTGCATACTGTTGCATGGTCAGTTTTGTATCGAGAGTAAATATTTTGGTATTGCAGGACGCATTCCCATGTGAAAAGCACCTATACTTTTTTTCTATCCACACTTTTTTTTAAATCAGAAAATCTCAGTTGCTGCCATGAAGGCCGGCTGAGTCTTGGCTCTGCTGTCTGGTCCTCCAGTCACCCTGCGCTCTGCCTTTTACAGGCTCTTCGGCTCCTGAGCCCTGGCGACAGCGGAACCAGACTCCTGGCCCAGATGTGGACTATGCGCTTCTCTCCTGTGGACTTCAGCAGTGTTTTCAAAGCAAACCAGCGGGGATTGAGGAAGTCCTGGCTTTGGGGTAGAAGGTCCTGGCCAGACTGCGATGAGGTGGCTCCCTGCACATCCCCACTGCAGCAGGGCCCACTTGGCCAGCATCTCCCGGAGCCCTGCTGGTACTGCACCTCAGTTCATTCTCAGTAACTTTTATTCTGGTCTACTCCAGTCCATTTCTACAGGTCATGGCAGGGCCTGGACCGAGGTGTCAGCCAAGAGCTAGGGGAGCCCTCTGGGCAGCATCTGCCTCTGCGCTGTCAGAGTGAGTGCCATGTACTGGCCATGATGGTGTGGGAGACAGCCCTGGGTGGTCTCTGCCTCCCTCTGGCCACTGGGTCCTGTAGCCGAGGTTACCCCAGGACTGGACAGCGTAGGCTGCCTGGCCCTTGCCTGTTAGACACCTGGGCACCATGCGCTGGTTTTCGAATGAGGCAGCGCAGATGGTGTTAGCAGGCGGGTGATCAGGAACTCCACTTTGCTTTGAATGCCTTTGTTGAATAAAGGAGCCTCACTTCACACACAGCGTCCAATTGCTCGAGTGGTTTGTTTGTTTGTTTGTTTGTTTGTTTGTTTGAGTGGTTTGTTGTATGTTCATAATATGTAGCCCAGACTTGAGCTTGCAGCTATCCTCCTGCCTCAGCCTCCCGAGTGCTCAGATTTGAGGTGTGTGTTGCTGTGAGCGGCTCAGAAGTGCCTTTGAAAGGGACCCCTTGTTTCCATGTTGAAGTGAAACATTGGTGGTCAGCAGCCAAGTCCTGTAGTTTTTTGGTTTGTTTTGGTTTTTGGAGCTTGAGGAGAAAAAAAAACCTTTGAAAATGAAGCACATGTTTAAAATGGAGCTTTGGTTTTTGTGGTTTTTAGATGGGGGGGGGGGCGGTTCTCGGTGTGTAACCCAGGCTGTCCACAAACTCCTGCATTCCAGTGGATGCCTCTGCCCCTGCCTCTGCCTCCTGAGTCGCTTTGATCCCTGGCCCGTGCCACTGTGTTTGGCTCTTTGTAAATTTTGGAAACCAGTTTCTATTAAGGCGCATTTTGGACAGTCTGTGGGAAATATATGGGGGCCTCTGGTGACTGTCAGAAGTCACAGGCTCTAAGAGCCCCCCGCCCTGAGAGATGGGCAGGAGTTGGATGGACGTGCTGTGGCTGTTAGAGGCGGCAGGCTGTGGCCAGTCAAGGCCAGGGCCATGGTCACCGCCCGTCTGCCCATGCTTCCCCACCTCGGGTGTCCACTTCTGTCCACCTGGGCAGTGTCGATAGGGCGCTCACTGGGCAGGAACAGCAGCTACACCTGGATTTGGGGAGGGCTGGGCAGTGTGGCTGTCTCAGGGACGCATTGGCTGTCCCTACCTTGATTTCAGTGGAGCTGAGGCTGGAACCCAGGCCTCTGGCTTCGGGGCAAGTGCTGACTGCTGAGCTGCACAGCTAGCCTGGCCTACGGCCTTCAGGAGGTCTCAGATACATGCCCGGGACATTAGGGTTGGGTGCCAACTGGGTATGGTTGTGCTCAGCCGCTGAGATCATCCTAGCCTTGGGTGGCTGAGGCAAGGGCATTGCCCTGAGTTTGAACCCAGCATGGGATACATGCACAAGTTATGTCAGACCCTGTCCCAGCTCCACGTAGGTGGGATCAAGCTGCTTGCATCTGCTCTGAGCTTCATGTTCCCTGTGGGGTCTGCACGTCCCCCCTGGCTGGGGCACACATACAGCTTGGCCTGGGCGCCTGTTGGGGCTATCCCCTTGTGGTACCAGCGCCCTGGGCACCCTCACTGGGCCTCACATCCTCTTCTGATGGCAGCCAATCGGGGTGGGATGGTGTCCTGGCTGTGGGAGCCTGTGGCCTGCTCCCATGGGCAGAGGCTTTCCAGTCCTCCACACTGACCTTTATCCTGGCATTTCAGAGTTTTTTTGCAGTTTTGAGACTGGGTCTCAATAAGTCCATGAGTTGACCAGGTTCATCTTAAACCCAAGATCACCCTGCCTCTGGCTCCCCAAGTGCTCCCCAAGTGGAGCATTAAGTGGTTTTTGTTCCTTTGACTTTGTGTAAAACTTCCCTATTACTCAGGTGTATTTATTATTAAAAAGTGTGAGATGCTGATGAGCTAGAAGGTAGGAAAGTCACCAGAATTGCACTGAGTAGAGGCAGCCTGGGTCCGTAGCCTTCTGGCCCCGTCTCTTCTACATGGTGCTGAGGCTGTTCCCCAGCCCTCATTTTTTATATTGAGACAGAGTCTCACAAAGTCATTACGTTTCTCAGGCTAGGATAGAACTCAGGACCCTCCTGCCTCTGCCTAGCAGTGCTGAGATTACAGGTATGTTCCGCCATACCTGATGCAGCCATTCTCTTTATGCAGGACTATCTGAGTGTGCAACATACATTTTCTTTAATTTTTTTTTTTTCGATTCTAGGGATGAAACCTTGGGCCTTCCCACCTCCTAGGCAAGGGCCCTACACTGAAGTATACCCCAGCCCTTTATTTCTTATTTTGAGAAGGGTCTCGCCGAGTCGTCTGGGCTGGGTTTGAACTTGCAATCCTGCTGCCTCAGCTTCCCCATAGCTGGGATGAGAGGCAGTCACTGCCCAGACCTACCACCCCAACTCCCCTGGGGCTTGGGCGTCCCCAGGACCAGCCCTGCCCTCCTGAAGGCTTTCAGGTCAACTGCTGGCTTCCTGCATGGAGGAGACAGCACCAGCGCTGGCACAGATGCTGTGCTGCCCTGGTCCATTTTCCTTCCCAGCACCGAGAGCTCCTGGCAGTGAGCGGGACACAGCTCCTGTTCCCAGATGAGGAGAGACCCACCGCAGACCCAAACTCAGCCTCTGCAGCTGTCCAGGAACACCATGGTGAAGGCTGGGTAAGGACATGTGCATCTACCATCCCAGCACTAGGAGGCTGAGTCAGGAGGGTTGCCGTGAGTTCAAGATCAGCCCAGGCTACACAGTGGGACTCTGCCTCAAAATAAAAAAGGTGAGCTGGAGCACAACCTGGGCCAGGCCTGCGTTCCACCTCCAGGAGCAGGGGAGGAGAATGGGGCAGGGAATGGCCCCAACCCTGGCCCAGTGCTGCCGTAGTGCCTCTGTATCCTTGGTGGCCTTGTGGGGACATGGGCCAGAGTCGCCAGTCCTGTGGGGTTCAGGTGCTGCCATCTCTGCACTCCAGGAGGCTGAGGCAGGAGGAGCTCACGTGCATGCCTAGTGGGGCAACTCAACAACTTAGGGACATCCTGTCTCAAGAAATAGATGCACATATTTTCTATTTTATTTATTTATTTATTTGTGGTGCTGGGAATCAAATTCACAACCTCACACTCACCAGGCAGGCACTCTGCCCCTGAGCTGTATCCCTGGCCTGTGCATACATTTTTTAAAGAGGGATCAGGTCGCTCAGTTCAGAGGCTCCAGGTTTGATGCCCAGTGCCCCCTGCAACTGCAAGGAAGGATTCACGGTTCTCACCTGCACCTGGGCCTCTGGGCAGGGCCTCTGGGAAGAGCCTCCAGGCAGGGCCTTGTAGTACAAGCTCAGACAGCTGGCACAGTGCGAATGTGGTATTCAGGAGGCTGAGGCAGGAGGCTCTCCACTTGGTGGCAGCTCAGGCTTCAGGTCCCCATAAGCCCATACTGCTGATAGCTCGGGTTGCCACAATAGCCTGGAGCTTTCTTTCTCCTTCTCTTCTCCCCTTCCTTCCCTCCCTTTGTCCCTCTGTCCCTCCTGTGTTTCTTTGTCTTCCTGTCTTGCCCCCTGTGGGGGCTGGAGGTAGGACACAGCGTCTCATAATTAGAAACTACCACCCAGCCCCTGTCCTGGCCCCAGCCACAGTGCTCTCCCTGCCTCTTCTCTGGTACTGGGAAATGAACCCAGGGCCTATTTATTTATTTTAGTTATTCATTTGTGTTTTTGCAACAAGGTCTCGCCCTAACTCACTGTGTAGCCCAGGCTGGCCTTGCTCTTGCAGCAGTCCTCCTGCCTCAGCCCTGAGTGCTGGCATAACCAGCATGTGCCACCACACTTCACTTTTGTCTTTTTCTTTTTTGGTACCAGGAATCAAACTTAGGGCCTCACACTTGCTAGGCAGGCACTGTGCCACTGGCTACATCCCCAACTGCCTTTTCTTTTTTCATCCCTGGCCCTTTTTACCTCATTTTGAGACAGGGTTTTGCTAAGTTGCCAGTTTCCTCATGCTGGACTTGAACTTGCCGTTCTCCTGTGTCAGCCTGCCCGAGTATTGGGATTTCTGAGCTGTGCCGCTGGGCCTGGCTGGCAGATTCGTAAAAGGAGAAGGTAGACTAGTGCAGTGATTTCCCATGAGCCTCTTGCTGTACTTCAGTAACCTGCGGCAAGCAGGCATCACACCTGTAATGGGGAAGCCTCACACACACAGTGTCCAGGAAGCAAGGAGAGCCCTGGGACTGAGATTTAAAAACAAGTGAACATAAGCTGGTGTGCTGCAGCTTTCCTTTTACCCCAGATACTCAGGAAGCTGAGGCAAGAGGTTCCCAGGATGGGCACAGCCAGGGGGAACTTCCTTATTTTCATACCAGGTCTTGCTAGGTTGCCTAGTTGCCTTCTCCTGCCTCAGCCTCCCCGAGAGCCAGGGTGGGGCAGATACCACACCACCATACCTGGCTCGAGCTTCCTCTCTCAAGACTTGGCGAGAAACTGCCCTCCTGGGCGACGCTGCTATCGTCCGCACTCTGTGGTGATGGCTGGCATGGTTCTGGTGTCAGCCAGGGTGGGCGTTGCTCAGCAGTTGGTATGTGGCGGGTGGTCCCCAGCCCACCTCCCCTCTGCAGACCCACCCTGGTTACCGATTGCAGTGACAGCTCACAGCCGGGGCCTGCAAGGCCAGGCGCAGTCCCTTGCAGGCCTGGCAACACCAGGCATCACACATGTGCCAGTGTCCCCAAGCTATTCAGATAGAGGACTCAGAGCCTGGGTGGTTGTGTCACCATGCCGAGCCTGGCTCAGTGCTGTCCTCAAAGTCATTTTTGGTAGGCGTGGTAACCATACCTACCCAGCCACGCTGGAGGCCGAGGCAGGAGGATGGCAAGTTCAAAGCCAGCTTGGGCAGCTTTGTGAGTCCCTTTCTTGAAATCAAAAAACAAAAATAGAACAGGGCTGGGGTGGTGATTCAGTGGGGAGCCGCTGCCCCGCAGGTACAGGGCCCTGGGGTCCTCTCCAGCTCCACCTGAGAGAAGCACAGTTGTTTACCCATAGTAGATACGGGACATTTCACTGCAGCGGAGGTAGGAATGGCAGCCGGCCCACTGGCCTACCCCCAACTGGTGAGTACCTGGCAGTGTGTATACATCTTGCAGCAGACCAGATGCCCCAGGAGACAAGGATGCTACAGGACAGGGGCCCCAGAATGACGTGGTGGTCACATCCGGAGTAGAGCTTGGTAGCATCATGGCTGCATACCACGAGAGCCAGGTCTCTTCCACCTCAGGGTCCAGCCTGCTGTCACTATCACACCTGTTGTTTCAGCAGCTTGGGAAGCTGAAGCAGGAGGATCTCTTCAGCCCAAGAGTTCAAGGCCAGCCTGGTGATTTAGTGAGAGCCTGTCCTAAAGCAACAGTAGTGGGGCTGGGGTGGTGGCACACACCTGTCATCCCAGCACTTAGGAGATTGAGGCAGGAGGGTCTTTGTGAGTTTGAGACCAGCCTGGGCTACGAAGTGAGCTCAAGGCCAGCATGAACTGCGTGGAGACATCCTGTCTCTAAAAGACAAAAAAAAGCAACAGTAGTGGGCAACGAAGGCAGTGATGATGGGGGCTTCCATTTCTGGGATACAGAGAGGCGCAGCAGGCAGATGAGCAGAGACTGTCTCCTGATTTGGTGACTTCAGTGTTTGCATTTTAGTGTCTCCCCTGAGACGCAGTTTGCCTCCAGGTCACCTGCTAGTGCCTGTGTCGTGGTGGATGCTCCTGTAGAACTCCAGCATCTGTCACTAGTGCTGGCTGTCACCAGGTCCCTGCCCAGTCCTGTCCTGCAAGCCAGCTCCTCATCCCATTGGCTGGGATGTGCTATGCATGTGGCTCCATCTAGACCCCCAGGACTGGCAGCACTGGCATCTGCACCCAGTGTCTTTGGGTACACTGCATGCTTCCGTGTCCTTGAGCAGTGCCCAGGAGTGTCACCTGGTCACGTGGCAACCATGGCTGCCAGGTGTTCTTTAGGCTCTAGGCTGTCTGGCAACTGGCAGAGTCTGTTTTTCTATTGACCTCAGGGCCTTTGCATGCTAGGGAAGCACCCCACCAATGAGCTGCACCCTGTCACTGTTACCATCCCCATTAGTATTTTGTTATAGGGTCTTGCTAAGTTGCCCAGGCTGGCCTAGAACTCAGCTATGGTTGCCATGTGACCAGGTGACACTCCTGGGCACTGCTCAAGGACACGGAAGCATGCAGTGCACCCAAAGACATTGGGTGCAGATGCTAGTGCTGCCAGTCCTGGCTGAGGTCCTTCTGCCTCAGCCTTTTGAGCAGCTAAGGTAACAGGGAGGCATCACCCTGTGCTCTGGGCTTTCCCTGCATTCTGTTAGTTAAAATGAGTCACAGCCCCAGCCACAATGAAAGGGGACTGACAATCGCAGTCCACTATGAAAGGGACCTGGGTCTTATGGAAATTTGCCTAGGACTCCCCAGCATGGACTCTGAGGTGTAGTAGCTGCTTAGCAAATGTTACTGCTTGCTCTTCCTGTGTCACTCAGAACAGTGGCACAGAACTAGAGAGGCAGAGAAGGCTGCGCTGCTCGGATTAGAGCTGCAGCCAGCATTAGTGCTTGGCCCAGACCCCGCCCGGCCCGGCCTGGAGATTACATGCAGCTTAGCTAGCTGACGGCAGCCTGGCCAGGGAGGTGAGGGGCGGTGCGTGTTCCACCAAAAGTGGTGGTGCCCACCTGTCATCCCACTCCAGCTTTCGGGAGGCTGAGGCAGGAGGGCTGTAGAGTTTGAGTGTAGCCTGGGATACAAGTTAATTTAAGGCCAGCCTGAACTGCATAGGGAGACTGCCTGAAAGCACAAAAACAAAAGCAAAAACAAAATAAAAATGTGAGCAGGAAGTCAGATTTGGCTGTCCATCAGGACTATATTTTTGTTTACAATGGTATTTTTTACCATTGTATCACTTGTGTGTGTGTGTGTGTGTGTGTGTGTGTGTGTGTGCATGCATGTGTACATATATACACACATTGTAACAAAACTAAAAGAACTATTATGTCTTACCAGTTATTAAATTGGGAGCATTCTGTATTTCTCCCTCTGGTTCTGTACTGGTTTTTCACGTCTACAGCTCACCCATGTGTGTGTGTTGTTTTTTGAGACAGGGTCTCACTGTGTGGTTTGGGCTGGCCCTGAACTCATTGTGTAGCCCAGGCTGGCCTCGAATTCAGAACAATCCTCCTGCCTTAGCATCCTGGGTGCTGGGATGACAGGCATGTGCCCCCACGTCCACGTACCCATGTATTCCTTTGCTTTACAGGTTTATTTTTTGCTTGTGTGTGTGTATGTGGTGCTGAGGGTCAACCTCAGGACCTCATGCATTGCTTTACAGCCTATGCTCCGGCGTCCTCTCCTTGTTACCTGGTGGCCATCGCTGGCTGAAATCTAGATGGTGCAGCACCCAGGGTGGCCCCTTCCAGCCCCAGTGATCCCGGTGTGTCTCCAAATCCTGCTGGATCCTGTGGTTGCTTCCAGACTCCCTCCTAGCATGCCTATAATTCCAGCACTTGAGAGGCTGAAGCAGGAGGATCCCTAGGAGTTCAAGGCTAGTGTGGGCTAGTGAGTTCAAGACTGGCCTGAAGTACATTGTGAGACCCCCCCTATGATAATTATAGGGAGCTATTACTGAAAAAGGAACCACTGAAGCAAGAGGCCAACTCCACCTTTGCAAAAACGAGTCATTTCCAGAATCTTCTGTGGAGCAGTCAGCCCGGTGATTTGCGGTGTTTCTGGGCCTCGCAGGAGCTGCTGACACCCCCATGTACCTGCTGGAGCTCTGCCAAGGCCTCTGGCAGGACAGATGTGGGTCCTGCATGTCCAGTCTGGAATAAAGCAGTGTGTGTGTGCACCTGGGTGTGCGTGTGTGTCCTTCTGTGCACAGCGGCTTTGGCAGGGTCTTACAGGGGATCCCCTTCACTCAGGACACACTGGTGTCCAGCTCTGCAGGCCGAAGTGATGAAAGCTCATGTGCTCCATGCTGGTCTGATCTGGGCACAAGGCCACTGGGACTCACCAGTGCTTCACCTGCAGTCTGGCAGGAACTTCAGTGTCCCCAGATTGCACTGCTAGGGCCCATGTGGGACACATGCATGTTAAGGTTTCTGAATCTGAGAACCTTAGAAAAGCAGGTTAAGTTGAGGGCTTTCTAATTCAAGCTTAAAATTACCTGTCCTCTGCCAAACAAATCACTTATCCCTGTGTGATCCTTGCTTTAATGCAAAAAGCTTGCCTCACAAGGGGGTTGGCCAGAAACACCTGTTTACTCAGCTTATTTGGAGAGGAACCCTGGACCACAGTCGTGTGCCCGGAAAGTGGCCATGCCCTGTGCACTGTCTTCGAGTGTGGTGTGAACCTTTACCCACCTGTTTCCCCATCTGGTCTCCCGGTGCCCAGGGAAAATGTCACTTCTCCCGAGGCCGCGGATAATGACCTTTAGCTTCACAGTGGTGCTGCCCCGCGGCAGAGTGCTTGCCTGGGCTCCGTCCCCAGCACCACACAGGACCCTCTTCTGTTGTTTTGACTTTTGGCGGTACTGGGCATCGAACACAGGGCTTTCAATCAGAGACTATCCTCACTCAGCCTTTTTATTTTGAGACAAGTCTCGAGAAAGTCATTAAGTCGCCTAGGCCGGGTTAGGGTTAGATACCTGCCACCTTCCTGCCTCGGCCTCCCAGAGTGCTGGGGTTCTGGGGGTGCCTAGGACGCCCGGCTTGATCAGAGCTGCAGAGAGAGAAGGGGACACTCAGTGCAGTCAGGGACTAAGGGAACCCTCTGCCTGTGACCTGCAACCCTGGGGATCTCGCGCCTCAGTTTCCTCCTCCGTTAGTCGGGGCGCGGGCATCCGTCCTGCTGCATTCCCACGCGAGCAAGCAGGGGAAGACGGGGCTTCCGGACACGGCTCTGAGCCGGAGGCGCAGAAACAGGGGATGTGCCACCTGCGGGCTCCAGATCCCCATCTAGAAGCAGGGCGGTCCCGGAGCTCCGAATGCTGTTCCACCGCGCATGCAGAAGGCGCCCGTTCCCGTGGACGGAGTTGACCGCCGCACCACCCAGACCCTCCTCCTCAAATGTCCGAGTTCAAGGGCCGGACGCTCGCGCTTCCGTCACAAGGTTCCGCCCACCCGGTCCAGGGAGGGGCGGGGTCTCCTGGCTGTGGCCGTTGCCCCGCCCAACCGCTTCTCAACCGCTCCCAGAGCCTGGCGGCGGGGTGGGGCAGCGCAGGCCAGACGAGTGCGCCTGCGCGCGCCTGCGCAGAGGCGTGGGGCGTGGTGCGCGCGCCGCCCCGCCCAGACCTGGAGTCTCCGCCCGCCCCATCTCCCAACCTCCTCAGCGTGGCGCCGACGCTGCGTGCGGCGCGGGTTACCCAGAGTGCTCCGCGCAGGGGCAGCTCACTGGAGTTTGGTTCTCGAGGCGGTGGCGGTGGCGGCGGCGTCGGCGGCGGTGGCGGCGGCGCTCCCGCGGCTCCTCCACCTCCCTCGGCGCCGGCGGCGGCCGGGGCCCGAACCCGGCTCCCTCTCCGCCACCCCGTGCGCCCCTAGTTCCCCCGGCGCCGCGGGGAACATGCGGCTCCGCTCCCGGAGGCCGGCGAGTGAGTGACCCCGGTTCCCCGCCTCAGCCCGCCCGCCGGCCCGGCCGCTCCCCCCGTCTCGCCCAGGCAATGACAGCGGCTCCGGCGTCTCCGCAGCAGATGAGGGACCGGCTGCTGCAGGCCATCGACTCCCAGAGCAACGTGAGTACTCCGCGCGCGACAGGACGAGGCCGCGTTGGCCCGGGACTCTCCGCCGACCCGGTCCTCCCGCCCATGAGTCCCGGGGGCCTCGCTGGGCGACCCCCTTCCCACGGGGGCCGTTGCCATCCTGGCCGCTCTCCGGCGGGGCCCAGGCCGTGGTGGTTCGCGCGGCCAGCGGCACTCGGTACGCGAGGCCGAGGCTTCCGCGCGGCCTGGACTGAGGGGCGGACGGAGCCCGGCCGAGCCTCCTGCCCCTGGCTCCGGCCCTGGACGTCTGCCTCGCCCGCCCCAGTACGCGGGGCCCTGAGCCCCCTGTGAGGGGGGAGGGGAGGAACGGCTGGGAAGCAACTGGTGTCCAAGGAAGCCACTCCCGAGGTCGGGGGAACCTTGCTTGCCGCTAACACTTTCTGGGCTCCCGGGCCCCACAGCTAGACCCGCCGTTCCTAGACCGCTGTGGAGTCGCTGCTTGGGACAGAGGGTCGAGGGAACGTGGGGTCCCTCCTGGGGTGCCTCTCACATGTCTGGCCCGGCCAGAGCCCAGCTGTGAGTGGTGGAATAGAGGTGGTCGATCTCAGTCGCGTTTACCTAGGAGCCCTGTTCCGGTTCTTCCTCTCCACGGCGTTCTCGCTTCGGTGGGGAAGGCTTGTGACCTGGGCTGTCAGGGTTAATTCCAGGGCCTGCCTGCTCAGGAGCCTCTTGTAGAGGGATCCCCCTGGGTCCTCCGGCTGTAGAGGAAGCTCACCTTGATCTCGGGTTGTCTCTAAGGGTTAGGGGCAGTCAGGGTCGTTTCTTTCTGCTGCGGTTAGTGAGGCAGTAGGAAGATGCTGCAGCATCCAGGTATGGGGGCAGCAGTTTCTGGGAAGTGGCATGGACAGACCTTTCTGATGTGCTGGGGACAGAAAAAAATGTCTTGGTTTTGGCCAGGTAACTCAGGCTTTCCTCACAAGAGGAGCCTTTGCTCTTCCTATCTCTGAGATGAGCTTGGCCAGTTTACTCTTAGCAGTGTGCTTTACTCTTTTTTTTTTTTCTTTTTTAAAATCATATTGGTGGCAGAGTCTTGGTAGAAATTGATGACCTACGATCTTTGTAAGGCTCTGGTTCTGGTGTCACAAGTAATTATCTTATTCCTGGTCTTCAGGCCCATAAGATTGACTTCATGGCAATTGTCTTCAACAAATATTACTGACATTTCGTGTTATGACGAGAAGTGGAGAAGTTATAAGCAATGTAAAACCTTCTAGAAGGTCTTTTCTGCAGTAACTGGTACAGCTGCAGTTCCAAGGCTGAAACATTAAAGGATAAAACAAACAATGTGAAAAAGTAGACTTGTGGCTTTCTCAGAGCCAGATTGTCATTTCTTGACTAATGTGTGGTCTCTTTGACAAGAACCTGAGAGGTTGCACAGGTCCCCAGTGCCACCAAGGAGAGCTTTGAGATCAAGAGGCACTTTGACAGGTGATTGTGGTGCTGTAGATTATGTGTGCCGGTGCCGCAGGGTTTGTAAAGCTCCAATTTCAAAGATTCCTTGTGGGGAAAGCAGAGAAGAGGGAGCAGACTTGAGTTTTTTGTGCAAAAGTATGATATTCCTGTAGGCCCAGGGTTGGAGTGGTAGCATGGAGTGTAGGTTTCCTATGGCTTATTTGTCAGAGACTCTAGTGATGGGTTTGGGTCAAACTCTGCTAATCCAGGTGTGGTGGGCAAACTAGGAAGTTGTTTCTTTTTCGTACCAGCTGTGAGGAAAGTGCATCCTTTAAGTGCTGCCCTTGTTAGTGACCCTCCGTGAACATCAAACATTGTTAGTGTATTTGACAGGATTGTGGCTTCGTGCAAACCCCTCAGCCTCAGAAAGCCTGGCATGTTGGACAGTGTGTGGTTGCTGCTAGAGGAGGTACGGGGGCTGGGAAGTCTGCAACTGCAGTCTGTTTGGGATAGCTCCAGGCTCAGGTGAATGAAGGGCCACCTTGCTGGGGTATGACCTCCATCACTGGGTAGTTGACACATATTTAAGATGCTCATGGAAGAAAAAAAAAATGGGGACAGTGTTGGAGAGCCAACACTAAAATTAAACCTCTTCAGAGAGAAGCGACAGCAAATTGTGTCATGTAATGCTTACCTTTATGGGCATGCAATTATGGCTAACAAACTCAGCTATTGCTTGAAAACTAAGTGTAGAGCCAGTTGACCTAATGTGCAGTGTGCAGTGTCTGAAAAGTTTGAGAAGTAACATGGTAGGGGCCTACTGACCATCTCCTTGCCTGGGAGTTCTTGAGAAGAAAGCTTTGTCTTTGCTCTGAGTTTCGGTCTCTGGGGTATTTGAATTTCTATAGCAGCAGGCTCAGTTAGTAATTTCTGCCAATTCTGTAACAAGTAAATCTTCTACTTTCCTTCTCAAAAAGCAACAAGCAGTGCGAAACAATAGAAACCTTACTTTCAGCCCTGTGTGTGTTGGCCCAGAGCATGGTGGTCCCGTGTGTGTGCCCAGGTTGTGACCTGGTCAATGTTGCCACACCACGGTGAAGCCAAGGGCTGTCTCACACCTGTGCAAAGTCCAAGGGAGTCCCCCATGATGTCCCCCTGGCAGCTGCCTGCTTCCTGTGTGTGGCAGACGACCACTTGTTGTCCTGGAGCTGCACTGTGCTTGCTTGGCAGAAAGCAGTCCCTTCGAGGGTGTGCTTCATGTCTTCTCCACCAGTGCAGGTGCACCAGACACACATCCTCCCTACTGGCCCCCTGGCTGACCCGGGAGATATCTCGTGCTTGTCACTCAGGAGCTCTATGTGAGCCCCGTTTTTTCAGGAAGCCCCAGGAGCCGCAGTACTTCACAGTTCAGTGGTGAACTTGGAGAATGACAGTCACAGGTGGCTGGAGCTCATTTTCTGTGGAGAGCCAGGGAGAACACAGATATCACGTTAGGTTCCACAGCTGAAGACCAGCCCGGGGCAGGATGAGTGCCCCATGTTCAGAGCCAGGAGAGGCTGGAGAAAGACCCATGGAGAAGAGGGACTTGAATCAGGCGTGATGTCGGTGTCCATGTGCCCGCTGGTGGGCTCTGGAGCAGGGAGCCACCTCAGCACCACTTCTTCCTTCTGTGCTGCAGGCATCACAGCAGGGGCTCTGCAGAGACTCATGCAGGGTAGGCCTGCTGCCCAGTCTGAGTAGGCGGCTTGCAGCCCCTTACCTGCAGCAGTGACCTGCAGGGGTGCATGTACCCAGACCAGGTGTGGCCTGTGGAAGCAGGAGCAGAGGCTTGTGTGAAGGTCTCAAAAGCAGGAGTGGTGTGTTCATTAACTGCCTGTTGCCATCGCACTGTTCTCTTTCTTCCAGGCACCATCCAGGGAGATGGGAGACACAGCCATAGCAGGTGCTGCTCAGCATCAAGAGAAGAGCAGGGACTTCTGTTTCTTACTTACCTGGTGTAAGATGACTGTCTCCAAATTAGGGGCTTTCCTCAGTGCCAGTCTTTTGACTGATCACCACAGCTTTGCTGTCAGAGATAGGTCATTTCAGAAGGGGCATGAGGTGAGGGAAGTACAGCTCACGATGGCCCCAGTGGGACCCACACTTGGTGCACTCCTTCCCTCTGCAGGCACACCTGTCAGCCTGGCACAGGGCTGTCCTGACTGGACATGTTTCCGAGGAAGGCAGGCCTGCCCCATGCGTGTACGTGAGAGTATGGCTCAGGTTAGATTGGCCTGGAGTGATCTCACAGACTGTGTAGGTGACAGGTCCTGGCTGCTCCCAGCAGTGTGGAGCTGCTCAGGAGTCTCTTGCTCTTGTTTGCTGTCTGCTGAGGGTGACAGTGCTTTGACACTGATTGAAGATGCTTCTGGCTCCTTCTAGAAAGTGGACTGAGCAAATCGCAAAATGGAAGCCTGTCCATTCTGTATTAAGAGGACATGGAACCTGAAAGCTCTGCCTGGTACCAGCAGTGGTCCAACTCAGTGACACTTCTGTCTTCACTGTGCTTCCTTTGCCAGGTACAGGGAATGAACAGTGTGGCGTGAGTGACTTGGGAACAGGGTGCCCAAAGTGAACAAGTATTCCTTGGGAAACTGATGTGAGTCCTCATTGGTGACTTGCTTTGTTCCTCAGAGGAAGGTGGACTTTAGAGCTTGATCTCCAGTGGTTTCCATATGTGCCTTAGTGTATGTTGTCCTGGCAGGAGGCCCAGAGGCCTGGAGGGTTATCCCAAGACCTTCCTGTGGGAGATACCTAGACTTCTGATCTCCTGATGCAGCTGTGTGTGGTCATCCCAAGCTCACATCTCAGACAGAGCCATTGCTTGGCAAAAGCTTGCCCCAGAGTGGGCTGTGGGAACTGTGGCCCAGCGGCGGCGTGGTTCTCCCTGAGTCCTGGGTTGGAGGTTGTCCTGATCTTCCTAGTTCTTGAGAGATGTGGGTGGGGGGATTATTTGAGCAGGCTGTTAGGCTGCTGGGTTTGGGGTTCAGCTAGTGGTAAACGAGGCAGTGCTTGTTCAGGGTGGTCATGCCCCCCCACTTCCCCTTTGTTCTTGGGGTGCACATGTAGACCTAAAGTCTTGAGGTCACTGAGTATTCTTCCAGCACATTTTGGGTCTCAGTATGAAAGGAACACAGTGAAACTGAGGAGGGGCTCAGCAGTTGCCTGGATATTTGGTGCAGGTGGTTGTGGGGGGGGGGCAGGTTGCAAAGCACTCAGACCTGAGGATGCCTGCTCTGCCCGAAGATCTGTCCCAGAGAGGAGCAGAGTAACTGAGGTTGGCACTCTGGCCCCTGGGCAGCGCTTGAGTTCACTTGGGACAGTTTTCCTTCTGTCTTATTTGAGGTCAGCTCTAGATTCTTTTTTTTTTTCTTTTTCCTTTTTATTGGTACCAGGGATCGAACTCACGACCGCACATTTGCAAGGCAGGCGCTTATGCCGCTGAGCTAAACCCCCAGCTCTAGATTCTTGAGAGCATGACATGGCTTTCTGGATATTCCATCACCTGAGAATTGAGAAGAAAAGGTTGCATCGACAGAGGC